TATTTGTTTTAGCAACATAATCCAAACAGGTGAAAGCATCATCTTTGTTATTTGCTTGGTGGGGTTTTTTGGGGGGTTAATTTTATGAATATAACCTTTACTTCTTGTTATCTCTGTGGGATTTTTCTCCCTTAAGCTAACCTAGCTTTATTTAAACTTTTTCCCTTAAGCTATCCTAACTTTAGTTAAACTGGGTGATGTAACTTATGTATCCACCTAACCAGGAACACACAGACTTTGATACTTGGCGAAGCACAGGGATCAAGAGTTTGAGGGCCAGTGCCCCGTGTGACTCTCAGAATTGTAGTACACTCCCGCCTGTCTTAGGGGACCCTAAAGGCCATTTGAAGATTTTGATGCCAATTCATGTGTTAAATCACCAGCAAACCTAATTCCTGTCTCATTTAGGGGTACAATAAACTCAGAAGAAGTTTATTATTGCATCCTTAGGCTGCAAGGGATGGCCATGCACCCACTTGGGGAGAGGCAGCCTGCTTTGGCTGCTTTTGTTTTGGAAGTGCTTGCTTTTCTGGTCGTTACCCTATGTGGGTCCTATCCATACTGGCAGTTGTATGAGACCTTTTTGGTGCTTTATGGGAATTTTTGCCTCACAGAAACATGAAATAATACAGAGGCAAGTTGTCTGACACATGTAAGACTGAACTTGAGATTCAGAGTATAGTGGGCAGGTGAACAGTCATATTCTCCCAAATCACAGGCCTACAGCTTTGTCATGCCTCTCTCTGATGCAGATATTATCTCTATGTCTTTTTTCCCCACTATGTTTATTTGGTTGTGCATCTCTGGCTTTAGGGAAAAAGGTTTGCTTTGACTTTAATTATTTGAAAGGGTGAATGTAAGCCATAAATGGCCACATGATACGCTGGGCAACTTTATAATGAAGGGTTCCAGTGAATGTGGGTATATAACTGTGTGCAAAAGTAAACTAATAAGTAGAATCCTTGCAAAATTGGACAAGTACTACACAACAGTAGGATGTGTTTTCAGTTATTTGCATTTGCGACAGCCATGTTATTCACAAGTATGTATGAAATGTTAGTTTTACTCATTCTTTGTCAAAATAATTAATAGATTTTATTGAAACATTTGCATTTCTTGACAAAATTAGCATGACTTCATGGAAGAAAATTAACCAAAAAATAAAATGTTGAAATACAAATATTCCAGTTACCATCAAAATACAGTAGGTTTAACATTTTGGTATATTACTTTTCATATGCCTTTTTCTTAGTAGTATTTTTACATTTCATGCTTGTGTAAACTTATGTTTACACAAGCTCTCTAGCACTTAGAATTTATCATTAAGTCAGAGGCTTGGAGTGTGCCAGTATCTCGTCAACGACATCGACACTTTTATGGCTTAACTATAAGTGCTATCTTGGGTTTTCATTCTTACCCACAATACACAAAAATACATGATATTTTACTACCCTTCATCAGTACTCACTCAATGAATGTATAATGCCCATTTCCTGTTTCCCTAGAATCTTGACATGTGATGGTAAACAGCATCACTCCTACTTACTTAGAATTTTGGCGTATAATGGTAAACAATATCACACATTTTAATTTCTTTTTAATTTCCTTGTTTTTTTTTATTAGTACATGTTTATAGTACATGCAGTTTACAGTCATCTTGGGGAGTAGGTGTGCGTACATAACACAACTTGATTCTTTTTTTATCCCCTTCCTTCTGCCTCTCCCCTTCCTTCTCTAAATCCCTTTTCCCTGTTACATTCTAATTTCTTTATGAAACTTAAATCCGGTTTGCAAAGGAAGTATTAATCATGCAATTGTACAAACAATGCTGAACTATAATTATGAATTATGAAGCAGGATATTAGCATCTGCTTAGTAGCAGTGGTAGGTACAGGAATGCAGGTTGTAGACTTATTATTTTCTGTACTTTCAATGTATTGAGACTGTTTCAAAATTAAGTAATTCTAACATTTAAAAGTAAGTTAAATATGTGATGAATGGTATCATGAAAGCATCTAAAGGATGGATCTACCCTTGTCGGGAGTGTCAGGAAAGTCTTACCGAGAAAATGAAATGTTGAGGGGCCCGGATTTGGAGGAGAGGAAAGAAGTTGACTAGGTGAAGAAGTGAGTATGTGGGAAAGAAGTGGGCATGTACCCGTGCAAGTGTCCAAGTGGCATTTATGTGCAAGTGCACATATTGGAGACAGTAAGGTAAAGGGAACAGGATCAATGCGGGAGCCTGTGGGATGCTTGTAGATCATGTGCAAAGGCCCACGTGAGGCTTCTTGTAGAGAATGGGGTAGAGGAAGGTATAAACATGGCCGGCAGATAAGACACATCTCTCCTACTGTGCTGTGCGTTCATAATTCATGGGCAATGAAGACTTGCTGAATATTTCCATATCAAATGGATTTAAAGAGGCAGATTGTAGCTGAGAATACCACCTAGGAAGGTAATGGGTAGGCAGTGAAAATAGAAAAAAGGAGAGGAGTAGGAGACATTAAGAAGAAGCATCCAATGGAACTGAACAGGTGGAAAAAAATAATAAAGACAGTGTTTAGGAGACTTACAGTATTAATGTAAATACTAAAGTCAGGAGTAGAAATATCTTTTGGCTGAAGTTGGTGGAGATGGAAGAGTTGAGGGAAAATAATACTGAAAGGAGTTTCGACTTAGTTGCATTTGCACCTTCAGTGTGAGTTTCCCAAGGGAACACATTTATTGGGTATGTGGCAAATGATAAAGTGGGGTGCATATTAGAAGAGATTTTTCAGGATCTTTGACCTTTTCTAACTTTTGTTATGACTGTATTGCATGTTCACTTCTGATTTTGCAAGTTTCAAGTTGAGATACAGATGTGGCATCACTGGGCTTTTTTGGTTTAAAGACTGGTTTAAATCTTATTTTAGATTCTTAACTTATTTTTGATTAATTGGCCAATGTGTAGAGGTCACTTATCACCACCAGAACCCAGAGCTTAATGTTCATATTCAACCTCTAGCCTTGCACTTGTTAGTTATGTGCCTTTGCCAAATTAGTTCATTGCTCTGTGTCTCAATTCTCCAATCCTCAAAACTAGCTTCTAATTAAGTAGATATGTGGTGAGAAGTCAATGAAATAATCATATAATTTTCTTAGAAGAATGGAACTTAAGAAGAACACAATGTTATGATTTTCAAGACAAAAATACCAAGTACTGTGAAACTACATAAATCAAATAAAATGTTTTAGTTTACCTTTTTGTTTTAGAAATTAAATGAGAGCTTTCAAACACAATTTCATATATTATTTTCACTCCCTTAACAGAAATGAGGCATGGTCTAGCAGCGTTAGGGAGCCTGTGAGTAGATAGGAATCTTCTGACTGCCTTAGAATTATTTAAAATAAGTGACATCAGAACATAAAGGTTTTACAGAAAAATTATCCATCTCTCAGATTCTGTTTGCATGCAGTCGAGAAAGTCTCCCTTACTTTTTCCCACTTTTGTAAAAGCATACATCAGATTCACCAAAAGACAGATGAAACACTTTGCAGGGCTGGGGATTTAGCTCAGTGGTTCTGCTGCCTGCCTCGCAAGTGCAAGGTCCAGAGCTCTATCCCTGGTACCCACCCCCTCAAAAAAAAAACACTTTGCAGAAGTTTTTGTTCAGTATCAGACCATCTGTGAAACACTGGTGCCCATGTGCATAGAAACAGTAATTGGCACTCATTTTCATTTTTCAATAGTTAATCAAACATCTGAGGACATTCCATTTGGGGGCATCTTGGAGTTTTTTGCATGTGTGCTCTTTGTGTCCACCTGTTTACACTTCCATGGCTATTCTTTTGTGTACAAGTGGCTGGGTTTCCTCCTTCAGTGCCATCCCGCTGTTTGAACAGCATGATTGTATTTGCTTGTCTCATTCAGCTGTTGTAGAGCAAAGCCCGTTGCCATGGTGAGGATTATGATGCCCCACATCAAAGTTAAGCGTGAGCTGGGATGGCTTTGAAAACATCCCATGCAAATATTTATTTTTAAGCATACAACAGGCTTTTCGGGAAGCGCTGGATAACTAGAGTGGTTACCTTTTCTATGACTCATCAAATGAGAAGTCGAAGTCGGTGACCTGTGATCTCCCTTTTGGTTATAATAAACTTCCAGTGCTCTCTACTTCACTCCTGTTGATCATAAGCCAGATTCCATTTGAAATAATTTGATGGTAATCTTTAGTTACGTACACAAGTTTATCTGGTTAATTGTCTAATTTACCCAGATTATGGCCTCAGAGCCGGCTGCCTCGGATAGGTATAATCTTAAGCTTTAGTTTGGTTTATTTGTTCCTTTGTCACTTTGGCACTTCGGGTGGAAACAGGGCCCTTTGCATCTGCAGAGCAGACATTCTTATGCTGAGCCACACCGGGGCCTCCCTGTTGGTTTGCTGTTGAGCCTCACCTGAACGGAGAGGCAGTGCTCCATTTCCGCGTGGACCTTGTGAAAATGCTACAGATTCTTCCCTGCAAGTTAGGGAGCAGACTCTTTGTCTCGCAGGGGCACATTCCGCAAACTGGAAATATTTATAAGAATGTGTATCATACATATTAGCATACATTTCTAAAGAACACAAGCAATTTAAGTATAAAGAAAACGCCTTTGATAAAGTTTCTTAGTTACAACTTTACAAAACTCCTGACCTGCCATCCTGAATGATGAGTTTATATGAATTACAGTTTAATCATTAAATTAATAGCTTACCTAATTTAGCAATTTTAAAGATGAATTTAAATGCTTATGCATTAGTTTCTTAAAAGAGCCTATTTTCTGTAGCTTACTATTGCATTTTCTTTACCTTCTATGTTTTATATATTCTGGGTTTGACAGACAAGGGAATCTGAGAGACATAAAATAAAATAAATATGCTACTTCTGTAAAATGTCCTCTTACTTCTGAAAAAAGAAAATGGAAAGAAACTGTACCTTGCCACATCGTGAAACTCAATGGCAACTGTGTTTGCTTTGCAGATCCGCAGCTCAAGGGCATAGTGACCAGGCTATACTGCAGGCAGGGCTACTACTTGCAAATGCACCCCGATGGAGCTCTTGATGGAACCAAGGATGACAGCACCAATTCCAGTAAGTGACCACCCCAGCCACCTGGGAGCACAGCTGGGAGGACGAACACAGCCACTGCCTTTTAAACATGCGTTTGCAAATAATCAGATGGGTGCACTTTTACAAATGTTACCTGCTAGACTGCCACTCCCAGTGTCACTAAACCACACAGGAGAAAATACTAATGCAGAGACGAAACTCTAAGTCAATCTCTGAAGTTTTTCGCACAGTTGTCAGACACAGAAAATCACTGATGCTTTTAATCTCATTACGGTAAAAATCAAGTAAGTACACTAGTGTGTTAAGTTGAAAGCTGAATATGGCTCCTCCGGTTGTATTATTTTGCTAGACCTGTAGCTTCTTAATGATACTGTGGAAATTCCAGAGCTATAAGGATGAATTTCAGATAAAAGAAGTACTGTATAATTTTTCAAAAAAATTTTTTTCATTCAAGAAGTAAAACATTATCTTTCTTATATAGAGACGATCAGGCTGTATACCACTAAATACTCACATTGTTCAAATTGTTTAACTACTTTACAGAGTTGGGTTTGCGATGATTTATTAAAACTCGATAGTTTACATATTAGTAATGTCTGTCTCTCTTTAATATTTTTTCACATTTAAGTTTTCTATGTAGAGTCTGGCTGGTGACTCTATGTCCCTCCTAACTCATCTGTCTTTTCTGTCACAGTATCTGTTTATATTGCCATTTGATTTCTCCTAATTTAAGAGTAGTTCTAAAACTGACACACTTTTTACTGGAGAGAGTCAGTGGAAAGCAAAAAAGTAAAAATTTACTAGAAATATTTAATCGCAGGAAATATTCATAGTGCATCAGGAGTAGATAACAATATCTCTATCCAGTTAGCATTCAGTCCTTCACATAGAGAAAATAATTCCATGAAAAGAAGGGAGGACTTGAATATGTATAATCAAATTATAAGCATTTCATTTTAAATTCTAATAATCAAGTTTTTAGTACCAGATTCTGGGTACTAAATTTTTTTAATATATTTGTAAAAATAAATTTTTATGTTTGGTGTTTTATGTTAAAAAAATCATTGTTTCTAAACATCGTGTTACTTCTCTTAGATTTACCATTACTTCACTTTGTTTTCCCCCCAGCTTCTCTTTCTTCTTTACCTACATTTTCCTCGTATTCAATTTTTAATCTTCTTTCTTTCTTTCTACTTCCCTTTTAATTTTTAAATGTTTCCTAATATTGATGCATTGATTTTTATTTTACTATTTTCTTTTTATTATAAAAATAAGAGGGCAAAATTCAAGCACTGAGAAGAAAGAGGAGCCTTTTTATCCATAAGGCCAATGCCAAAGATTGTTAGCTTATTGAGATTTTGATATAGGTTAGACTTTTAAAAATGATCAGTACTTTACCATTTTTGACTGAGAAAAGATATCAGTATCTTATGATTCAAACTAATCCATACATATAGCTGCTCTCTTTTTTCTACTAGTTTTAGCTTCTTTTTCATTCTTTGACCCAAAGATGTTTCATTTTCCTCGTGTCTTACAGTGGTGGGCATAGGAAGAGAATCCTAAATTCTGATGTCTTCATTGTCATTTAATCATCATTGGCCAGAGTTTAATTAGCCAAAGGAATGAGTTTTTCATAACTGTGCTCACTTTAGGAACCACAGTGCTCTGAAAGATGGGAGTGACTTCATCCATATTATGAAAATAGTTTTCAGGAACAAACTAAGCTCTAACAGTACAAAAATTATGGTTCACTGGACTGCTTAGCCAAATAATTTCCTTCAAAGAGAGGGTTTATGTATTTTCCATCGCTTTTTTCCTTTTTTATTTCAGGAAAAGGGGTGTAATCCTAAACAAACTGCCTATCTATGATGTTCGGACTCAATATCCCATTGAGAAGTGCTAAGTAGACCTTGTCTTCAAAGGGCATACTGCTGCAGAATTAATAAGCAGCACAATCCTTCCTAAATTATAAAGCTCCAGGTCCAGACAGCACACACACACACACACACACACACACACACACACACACACACACAC